ACAACTACCAGCCCTGACTTTTATTGTAGTTAATTCTTGATTGCTCAACCAAGTTGGGGCCCTGTGAGGTTTATTCTTGCACCGGGAGAGAGACCTGAGGTTTTTGTACCCGTCCTGGAATTAAAGTTCCATGATCCATAAATTATCACAATTCACGGAACGAGAGAATGGATTCTTTCCTGTTTCAAATGTTCTGCCTTGTTTGGTCTGTCTTGTAAACTTGATAAAGCGATGAATGGTCATGCGAGTAGGGTTGAGCATTGTAATAAAAAAAACGCAAGGAACCACAGTGGCGGCGGTGGCTGCAGCAGTGGTGTTTGTAGTGGTGAAGGTGGTGGTGGTGGTGGCGGCGGTGGTGGTTGTGGTGGTGACGGTTGTGGTGGCGGCGGTGGTGGTTGGGGTGGTGGTGATGCTGGCGGTGTTGGCGTTGAGGTTGATGTTGTAATCGCCTTCCTCACCCACCCCTGCTGCTGCCTCCCTGCCTCCCTGCCTCCCTGCCTCCCTGCCTCCCTCCCTCCCTCCCTCCCATGAAGGTGCTGTGCACGTGGGCGGAGGAGGGAGGCATCCTGCGGCAGGGCCAGATCTACATCCTGAAGTCCTTCCTACCGGACGTCGTGAAGACGTGGCAGGCCGTCTACCGCGAGGACACCATTCTGCATCTTTGTCTCAGGGTGAGGTCAGGTGTGCTTGCACACACGCACGCGCACGGTTCGGTCCTCCCTCACCCCACTCCCTGGCGGCAGTGGCGGCTCGTGCAAGCGCGCTTGTGTCCCTTGTGCCGCGTGTCCTTGCGACGCAGGAGATCCAGCAGCAGCGAGCCGCGCAGAAGCTCCTCTTCACTTTCAACATGATGAAGCCGAAGTCGATCCCGTATTCGCCCAGGTCAGAGCGCTTCACTCCCGTGTCCGTTTCGCCCGGTTTTGAAGTTTTCACTTTTGAAAAGTAAACCAACAAAGACCACTTTAATGAGCACGCGTCTGTTGCTCCTATTCGCACGTACCCTCCCAGTTCGCGTGGACCTGCGCGTTCGCTCGCTCGCCAGCCCCAAGTTTGCATTCATGCGTGCGGTTACGATCGACGTCGAAGCCCCACGAGCGTAAGCGACCTTCCCGTGCGACCACCTCCTCCTGCGCGCAGGTTCCTGGAGGTGTTTTTGCTGTACTGCCACGCGGCGGGCCAGTGGTTCGCCATCGAGGAGTTTGTGAACGGCGAGTTCCGCAAGTTCAACAACAACACGGGTGAAGAGGGCCAGGCGGCCAACCTTCTAGAGGAGAGCCTGCTCGCCTTCTCGCACTGGACGTACGAGTACACCCGCGGCGAGCTGCTCGTCCTCGATCTGCAGGGTAACTTCCGCGCGTGTCCATCCGTCTTGCTGGTCGTTGCGTTATTTGCAACGCGCCATCCTCAATAGTAATCGGAGTTGCAAAGCGAAGCGACGAATCCCGGCAATGCGGCGGTGTGCACAATTCCTAACGTGCCCCACGTGCACAAAACGTGCACCCGCAGTGGCGGTACACACTCGTGAGTGCTTGAAGGCAGTTTCTCACAATGCATTTTGGGAAAAGGTAACCGTTTCTACCTTATGCTACCTGTAATCACCAAAAATTGGTTTTCGCTCTGCTTGAGCCTTCAATGGCTGGAAAAACGTGACATGGTGCCTACACTTGATACGCACATGGTACTATGCTGACTACTGTGGTTGTTTTTCAGGTGTGGGGGAGATTTTGACCGACCCTTCTGTTATCAAGGCTGGAGAGAAGAGGTAATGTTTGCTCATGATTTGTAAATTACAAAATACAAATGCAACTCCGGTGCCAGGCGCTGTAAGCGTCGATGTGAAGATGCCAACCGACATTATGGTTGGTCTTAAAGTTTAACGACGCTGCCGTAACTCCGCGCGAGAGCTGGGGGTCGTGTTCTGTTGCGTGACTCACGTGAACGTGCGGCCGCCCCTTGGGTCAGGTCCCACGACATGGTGTTTGGACCGGCGAACCTTGGCGAGGACGCCATCAAGAACTTCCGCGTCAAACACCACTGCAACTCGTGTTGTCGGAAGCTCAAGCTGCCCGGTCAGCCGCCGATACTCACTCACGCACCGCACGCGCCGCACGCACCGCACGTCTGGGTGGCGTCGTGCACGCTGGTGGTGCCGCCCTTCGTTAAAATACACACGGATCAGGTCAACTGCGTATTGCAACCTGATTGCTATTTTAATGCAAAGTGGTATCTATACATTTAAAATAATGCACACTGGTAGAGTTGGTGAAATTAGTTTTGGTTATGTGTGTAATTATAAATATGCATACCGACATGCACACACAAAACCCTTAGGATCTTACCTCTCTGACCCTCTACGTGCTATGAAGAAGGGCAATTTCCCGACACATCACCTATATTATTTTCCTGTAATTGACAAATGTGTTGACTTTGTTCCTTATCTCAATGCATTTAGCAATACCATGCTTGCTATGATGTCCTGTTCTATAGAAGCTGATGGAACACTCGAATTTGTATGAATGATTCGGCACAATCGAGATGCAATACAAAAAATAACATTTAAAATCCATTATCAATTGGAATTGCCAGCCTGAGTCATGGCATCTCACCAGACCTCTGGGGGGTAAATCGTAACATGCCAAAAAGAAAGCGGCAACGCAATGCCGTTCGTGTTATCGGAGCTGCCTTCATGCGTGTGCCCGTTATGCTTCTACTGTTGCGTGCAGACTTGAAGCGCAACGAATATACTCCGTCCAACATTGGCGTCTCCCAGGCAGCCTCCTCTGACGCGTGAAGACGGGCGACGTGGACTACGCAGGGAGGCGCGTGGGCCAACAATGTGCGAACGCCGAGTCTGCTTGCAGGCTACGCCGCGTGTCTGGCTGAAAGTGTTCTCGTTTGGTCACTTTGTTCTGGGTTCGGCACACGATTCCACAGTGCTACCGGCGGTAAAGGTACACGCAGCGAGGGCTCCAGCAGCTGCACAAGCTCGAGCCGGCGCTGCGGTAGCGAGGAAGGTGGAATCGTAAGGGAGCAAAATAGCAGCAATAAATCGGGACGAGGGGTTTGCGGCGGGGAAGGGGGCAGCTGGGAGAAACCGGTCCACTGTAGATAGAGCGCCGCCATCCTTGTTCTGGCCGCACCGCGCGTCACGGGCACTTGCACGAACTTCCATATGGTACGTTACAGAGGTACATTCATTGCGACGGTACATTCCTGGCGGCGCTTTCACCCACTGGCCAGTCTCCGCCATTGTCTCGCCCGCAAGCTATAACGCAATTCGAGTGTGTGACGACGAAGACGTGTATTTATATTTTTGAATCGTGCGTGTCGCCGTGTGAAGTACTCTGCATGTCGCAATCACAGGTTTCCTCGAGTGCGGTTGTGCTTAGTCGAATGTTGTGCGCGCTTAATCATGTGAACCAAATCGAAAGGGCTCCCGTGCAGTTGGAGTCATCCCAGCTGCTGGGCACGGGGCTCCACTGCTTTTATCGTGGCGAGAAGCGAGGCACAAAATTGAGTCCCGACGCGAGAGGGGTCGTTAAAAATGCTGCCTTCGGATTGTGTCGGTGGGACTGGTTCGGAGCCACCGCTGGCAGGGTTTCAGTTAACCGGATGTATTGGCATGTGTTCTGCTCGCGTACGAGAATGTGCTGCGCACATCTCTCTGGCACGTTTCGTTATCGCCGCGTGATGCGCAGCGTCTCGCGGAGTCGCTCTCCACTGACAGTCCCGCGCACTTGCTCGCGTCACTTGGATCCTCTTGCGCCGAGCCCGAGCATCCAGTGCCGTCCGAAACGCCTCCCCCTGCTCGCGGAGAGCGAATCGCGCCCTTGCGACCTCGATACCGAGCGCGCTGTCCGTTTGCACAAGCGACTTTATTTTTGTAGCTTTGTTCTTCGTATTTATGCGGGAGTTGCCACCGATTAGCAAAGGTGTCGACGCACCCAACGGGTCCACTCTATTTCGATTGCGAGAGAGGGACGTGTTGCTATATACTTGACGAAAGATCCCACTTGTCCAGACAAAACTCAAGCTGCTAACATGAAGCGGAACCACCACGCTACAACACGACGACGGTCTTTATGAACAAATATATTTTTTAAAGTAACTGGTGTCGTTAATGTCCTTAATGTAAATGTCCACACTGCTGCCCGTATGTCTCTAGTTTCTTTTATGAAAGGAACAGTTGCAATGAATCTGCCGATTTGCTTATCAGGAGGCAGTTGGCACTTCCAAAGTCAATGGTATCTTCAAATATGTACACGGAAGGAAGCATTTGTAAAGGTGCTTGAGTAAATGATTTTTTTGTAGTTTGTCTTGTCTCGGACTTCAAAGGGCTTTGGGTACTTGTACGCAGGTGTATTTTATGTTTAATCCAAAGATTATGATTTTTTGCCAGCACGGCACTCGGCTTCCTATTCGTTAGCCAGATCCGGGCCCCTCCGCCACGAGGCGACGCACTGCGTCACGAGTGATAGCTGTACATCAACCCCCCAAAATAATGAATATGCAAGATTTTATTATTTTATTAATCAAATAAAATCTATTATGAATAGATACTCGTCTTATTTAATGTGTGCTTCCTGCAGTCCATAAATTCCCCCCCCCCCTTCTCGGTTAAAACTGACTGTCCCTAAAGCGCAGACGCGCGTGACCATTGGACAGTGGTGTTGTGTATTTGGGGAAACGCCTCGACACGTGGGGGTGCCTATATTGGGAGATGCAGATGGTGTGCGGCGCCTGCTATTCATAGCGCAGAAATGCCACCCTCGCGCGGCTGACGCTGCGACGCAACCCCAACCGTTCCGGTGCGCAGCGCTGGCCTTACGGCAAAGTGCTGCACCACGACGCTACCACCTCATCCTTTCGGGAGCTTTGCAATTCTTGTCAGGCCATCCATTGCCATCGTGCCGCAGCCACCGAGAATTTGACGAGCTTGTGTTTTTCCCGCGGTTGGTTTGGCAGTTGCACGCAAACAAAAAAAACGCCACCAAGCAATATTTCAGACTGGGACTTTTTATTTATCTGCCACCAGCAGAGCTGTCTTCTTATTTAGTTGCAATTTTAAAGAATGTTTTCATACTTGGGCTACATACCATGATACGGCTTCCTTCTTTTAAACCAGGTATCACTCTCGTACAACATCCTTCTGCTGTACTCTCATGGGTCACGCCCTCCAGGTTTGCTATTCCGCAAGATTAAAACATGATGTTAAAAAAAGTCACTCAACCGGTGCAAAAAAAAATAAATCCCGACGGCTTTTAACTTAAAAAAGACACATAGCTCCCAGACAACCTGGTGTAAATTGACATCCCATAATGGAAAAAAACAACTCGTATTTGTTGATGCAAAACCGTCGTCATTTCTCAAAGCTTGAGGATTTCTTTCAGATGATATCTGCCAGGACAAAAAGCAAGGGAACAGGTTAGCCACTTGTCAAAGACAGTCACCGGTTGGCCCTCCCTGTAACAGGCGAGCACCGAACGATAGCCGCACAGGCAATGGAGCCGTAGAGGAAGTAAACGCAGTTTTTCCGAACCTACGATCACAGGGCACGCGTTGATGTACTCCGCCAGCTTCTCCTTGATGCCCTCGTACACCGCGTCGAACACGTCGTTCTTCGACAGAGTCCCGTCCACGTGCACTGCGCGCGAGCACCAGAACGTGGGAGGCATGGAACCATCTGTTGGAACTGGAATAATTCAACGAGTAAAATGGCTCTCGTCTTGTTATGAAGGTCATCTGTTTATATACAAAATATGCAACGCAAAGTTACAAAAGCATTTATTGACACAAATGAGGCTAGATGACGAAAGGTTTAGTTTTTTCGAAGTGTCCCAAATTTCATCTCTTCGCCGCTCGCTGCAGGACCGTACCGACGTCAAGGTTGAGCTCTTCCATCTGCTTGCGGTGTTTCAGGTACATGGGCCACACGTGTCCATCAAACAAGCCCGGTGGGTCGGGCACCGTGTAGTTCCTTTGGCTACAGGGCACGGGGGGGCAGAGGAACACACGTGGGGGAGTTCTCACGCTTCACGCCACACACACTCCACGTGGCTCAAAGGCCGCTCGTCTCCTCGTTCGGGGTTTAAGTTGACGTCTGCCAGGTTATCAAGTGTCCACAATGCCGGCCGCATTCCTTACCTTCGTCTCTTCTTGCATTCTTCATACGGCACGGAGATGAAATAGCTTTGATCGAAAACGTCAATCAGAGGCCTGCGGGAGAAAAAAAGCAACGTTCACGATCGCAACTCCTGGAGATCACACGTGCATGCGTAACCGGTCGCCCGGATAGCCGTGTGCGCGCACGCACGCACGCGTACTTGTGGGTGTACAGCAGGAAGCCCTCGACGATCAGGATGTGCAGATCGGACGAGGGGCAGGGCCCGAGGCCGTTGGCGGCTGACGGAGCAAGCGGCACGCCGTGCGAGCGTGCGAATTTGACGGGGTTGTCGCGCCATGCGTGCACTGTGTTCAACATGGCCTCCATGTCCAGCGCTGTGATCACTGGTGCAGGCGGAGCACGGGGGGGGGGGGGGGGCAGCACGGCGTTGGGACGGACACTTCACCCGTTTTGAGGCACGTTAAGACTCCACGCACTTCCCCCCCCCCTCCACCCCGATGAATTGTCACAAAATAATTCAACCATCGATTATTTTTTCTCTTGTTAACGTTTCATTTGTTATGGCAGTACAGTCTCCTTCGTACCGTCTCTCATGGACTGCCTGCATGGTCTCATCTGTTTGTCCCATTTGTTGTTTTCTTCTCGTCTGTACCGTTTCACTTTGCGGGTCGCATTCATTTGGCCAAAAATTGACGTGACATTGGGATTAGTACATTATCACGAGCATGATTCAACATATGTATCACGTGCGTAAGAATGTCTTTTTAAAGGGGACACCGTTACATGCCTGCTGATGGCGAGAACCTCAACAGAAGGCCGAGAAGGTGCAGTCGGTGTCACCACTGCCATGCTGTTAGAGCAGTACTCTTATCACCATTACAAGTCGACTCAAGCCATCATCTCTCGGGTGGAATAGAATGGCCCCTGCCATGGGAATGTGTAACTTCCAATGCTGGCCGATGGTAACCAGACGCACCCCAATGCCCCATGGAATATGGAAACACACTTCACTTTGCATACATTTGGTCACAACACTCAACAAGGGTGCCTGTGGAGCGTTTGAGGTTGTGCGTGCGTCTGTATACTGGGGGGGGAGGGGGCAGCTGCAGCGGCGGCGACAGCTGCAGACGGCTGCACTCACCATCGTACTGTTTGAATCCATCGGCCCCAACTTCGATCTGATCCTGGGGCTGTAAGGACACGTCACGGAAGGAGACATCGTCAAATCGCGAAGGACACCGACAGCCGCGCGGCTTCACCGCCCTCCCGGGCCGCGCGTCACGGCGACAACCCAACGCTTCGGCCATCCCGCGATTCGCCTTTGATGGCTCATCCCTGGCCGTCAAAAATGGAACACTGCCCAACTGCCCCTCCCCACCACCACCATAAACGTGAATGATCGCAAAACAAACATCCGGGACGCCGCACGTCCCTAGCCGCTCCCCCGCTGCTCTCTCGGTGAACTTTAACCGCTGGGATCGGCCCCAGCAGGTGCCTTGTGCAGTTCACCTTGAAGAAGTCGTCCTGATATACCACGCAGCAGTTGGGCAAGTTCTTGATGATGCGGTTCGTGACGGTCGTCTTGCCCCCATTCGTCACCCTGAGGACAAGCACCACCACCACCACCAACAACCACCACAATCATCGCCATCGTAAAACATCACGGCCATCATCCAGCACCGACCACCCAGTCAACGTGCAATCGCCCATAATAATAGTTTAAAACGTTGCTCTCGCCTTTTTTTTTAAAAGATACCGAGTCTCCACAATTCTTTACAATTAATTGAAAAATAAATGGGACCGCATTTGCAGTGGTGGTGCAGATGCAGCGAAAAATAAAACCACCGCGATTATTGTCACTGCCGATGTGAGAGATCGCCTCTGCCTTCTCAGCTCTGACGATGGCATCGTGCCCGAAACGTCAGTCTAATGTACAGGGTGCTTCAAAAACATGTTAACACTTCTGAGAATTTGCAACAACGCCACAAGAAACGTGCTGCCACCTCCGGGCTCTGGATACCCCCTGCAGAAGATCCCAGGCACGCGTTGACAACGATGGCGAACAAGTGGGAGACTGACTTTTTGAAGCTATTAACATGACATTGGTTATCATGTTACCGTGTATTATTCGTTCTTTGTTCATTGAAGCACCCTGTATATCGTGTTTTGGGGGGTACGCCAGCGTCAGTAACGGACACAAGGTTGTAGGATGTCAGTGTATTACGCAAGAGTACAGACTTAAAATGTAATATAGTGTGTGTATATATATACAACCAGCTGTGCTGTGTAAATATAGGTCGGAGTGTCGGACACGTTAAAGCCATTATTCCTTTGTTGCAGAATACCGACAAGCAAAAAGGCTTGGACACCGCCTCGCCCCCCACTCCCCTCAGCCCCCCACAGCAGTTCCCTGGACTGTATTCCCCTCTTCGTCAGACCCTGACACCCAGCCTGGCACCCCGCTCCCCAAAACGACCCCCAAATCACTACCCAGGACACCATCTGCGCTCCCAAAAATCACCCTGCCCCCCCCCCCCCCCACCGGCACCTCAAGGTGACACTCTTAACACAAAAGTCTCTTGTGCCCGGCACAAATTAATATACCCCCCCCAAATAAAACTATTAAAGTATTCCAGCCCCCCCCACCCATACGCCGCTCTCCCCCCGTGTGCCCAAAATACGCTCGCCTCCTACAACTCCCATCACAATAAACCTCTCTCCTGCCCGCCAGCCCCATATGCGTTGCATTTCACCCCCCCCCCCCCCCCCAATTAAATAATATATCTCCAACAATATTCCTTTCCCAGACCCCCCCCCCCCCCCCAAAATCTCTACCCCCATCCTTTCCCTGCCCCCTAACATCTCTGCCTACCCACTTGTCACGTCAAAACACAGTGCACATCATTCGACCCCCGAATTCTCTATCCCAAGCGCCCCCCCATAGATCGCGCACTCTCTCCCGTCTCTCTCCCCGGCCCCAACTGCTCTCCACGTGGCCGCGATGCGCCTGGGCCTCGGCCTCCTCCCCACGTGGCCGGCACTGCCCGAGGCAAACCTCCTCCTCCCCCTCCTCGAACCCCCCTCTCGGCCGCCCTCGCCCCAGTAACCCCCGAGACGCCGGTGCCGGCACACGGCGACACCCGGGCGAGACGCCACCACGAGCGGGCACCGGGGACCGCTGGACCCGGGGCCACGTGGCCGAGTTCCGGGACTCCGTTTACCCTCCGATGCCGATGATGATCTGCATGTCCGAGCCGGGCGGCTTGCCGATGGCGTTGCTGATGTTGTTGCTTCTGGAGCTGCCGGTGGCGTGATGGTGTGACGCGCGGGTGTGCGGCTGGGTTTTGGGATGGGATCGGGGGTTCGGGTTAGCTACTCATGTCGCTCAGCCTTTCCATCTTGACGGACGAGGAGGAAGAAGAAGCGAAAGGGAAGAGGCGGAGTCTTGGGGAGGAACAGGAGGAGGAGCTCGGGCGATGGCTGTCACGTCAAGAGGGCCCGCCTCTCGCAGTGGTGGACTCTCAAAGCTGTCACTGTCAAAAGGAAAAATACATCATGGGCGACGTTTCGGGCAATGGCCCTTCTATATTGTACAACACACATGTTGTGCTGTGAAGAAGGCACACTGTCTGAAACGTTACCTGTTATAATATTTGTTTCATGTGTTTTTTTTTTCCTTTAAAGGAAGCCTTCTTGACGAATGCCAACACACCCTCTCCAAATGGATTGCCCCTGTCAAGAACGCTGGCTCATGAGTTCAGGGGCACTGGCAGAGACGTCCCCGCTCATTTACCCTGCTTCGTGTCGGGAAATGAAGGGCACATGCGCCCATGTGCTCTATTATATACTGTCGGGCACCGTGAACGAGTAAGATTTGTCCCTCTGTCAACCATCGTTTATGGGTGTCGACACCATAGATTGGGTTAACGTTTATATTCTGGAAAGTAGACGTAAGTTTCCTCTTGGTTGAGTGGTGTTCCTGCTGCAACAGCCTTGCGCTTCGATATATTTTTGTAGAATGTTAGAAATCGTTTTTTTTTTTCGACATTTTGGAGAGTTGATTTAAGATTGTGTTGACCCTTCAACACAGCCCTGTTCCACTGAATTATTTCTATTTCATGAACGTAAATTTAAAAACGTTTCACACAGCCTTGTTCCGCTGAATTATTTCAACTTGATAAATGGAAAAAAAATATTGTGGCCATGCAACCCAAACTATGGACTTTACAGCAAACCCACTGTAGCCTGTGCCCCTATAACAGAGGAGGGTGAGAAACATGTCTTGAACGCCCTCTGCTGAAGCCCTCTCGTCGTGGCCAGCAGACCTCGACACTGGCATCGTGCGCCTGAACCACGTTGCTGCCGACATGCACAAGATTCGAATGGAATTTCACGAAAAATACAGCATTTTTTTACGATAAATCCAAGTAAATAGCGTCAGCTGTGGCTGAGTGTTTACCCTGTGCAAGTGCCTTCTGACGCAATTTTATATTTTATTATTATCTTTGATAAATTAAATATGTAACAATCATTACGTATTTATCCAGGAAGGTCACACTGGGTAGAAACACCTCTGCAGGAGGGCGCCTGCTGCTGCTACATTTTTATTTATTTTAAGATGCTTTCAGCCAATTAATGATGAGTGTTTTTAGGTGAAGGGGGGATGACACGCAGGAGATGTGGCAAGTTTCGAGATGGAGAAGAGAGTGCGGGATTAGAGCGTTGACGAGGTTGAGTCAACCAGTGAGATGAAACAGAAATATGCAGAGGTAAAACCAGGGAAATTCATGTTATTGAAGTAACTGATTTCTTATGACATACAATACCGTATTTCATTTGGCACATTCGTCCTATTATTATTTAACGTGCTATAAAAATGGACCATTGCCCGAAATGTCGACTTCTGTGAGATTTTTAAAATGTTTTTCCCTTCGAGGCATTGCCATTGAGGGGCGTGTTGAGTTGTTGGTGACTTCTGTGGCCGTTAATAAACGATTGTGTAGACAAAGACCCACGTGTATCCTTTATCTTGGGGGCAAGTTTGTTTGAGAGCAGCACCTGTGAAGGCCGGACCCGGCACACGAGGTCGCGTTGTGGCCAGAACCACGACGTTTACACACCGCTCCAGCTACTCACGCCGTTGACCTAGGGGAGTCCCGGGACCGGATTTAGATCAATCAGCGCCGGTTGTTGGTGGCCATGAGCGGGAATCCGAGAACTCGGGTCGCCCGGACTCGTGGCGCAGACGCCCTAACCGCTGCGCCACCGCTCCCCGACCCCTCGTGGCGAGCGAGAGCCACTCGCGTACCAGCGGCGCCACCTACCGGCCACCTACCCGCCCGGCCACCTACCCGCTGGGCCGCCTCCCCCTGTCACTCAGTGCCTGCCGCGCGTGTTCCGGGAACCTAAGGACCGCAGAGTCCTGCCCAAACTTCCGTCTTCTGCTGTCTATCGGTAGCAGCAGCAGCAGCGGCAGCCGCAGCAGCAGCCGCAGCAGCAGCAAGAGGAGGAGGAGGAGGCCAAGGCGCGGGAGGCCTCAGCAAGATGTCCGTGAAGCCCGTGCCGCCCAAGCCCACGAAGCCGGGTGAGACGCCGCGGGCGCGCTGGGCGCGGCCCGCCAGGGGCAGGGTTCGTGGGGGTCGGGCAGCGTCTGGGGCGAGGCCTGAGCAGGGGCAGGGGGATCTTGGGGAGGAAGGTTCGGGTGGGGAGAGGCAAGCCTGCGAAGGGCAGGACATGGTGTGAGGGCCTGGGAAGGGCAGCTGTATGAGGCCAAGCCTGCGAAGGGCAGGGCCCCTGACAGAATGGGGCAACTCCTCCAGGATCCCCAGGGAGTTAAATCCGGGTCCCCTGTCTCTCAGGGTTGGGGCCAGCATGCCAGGGATTGTGTGCGCGCTCCTCAATTGAGTCCCTTTCAAAGCTCGGCTCAACTGCCCTAAGTGCTCATTGTGTGCATCAGAAATATTTTAATTATTTTATTGTTTCCCTTCTACGTGACTTTACCGAAAGAACCAAGAATATGAATCCCTGCAGTCACGAAAGCTTTCCGCGTCCTGCGATTGACACGTCCTGCCCCCCGCCTTCTGTTCTGACCGCACCGTCCTGCCTGCCCTCTGTTGTTGGCCCTGCCTGCCCTCTGTTGTTGGCCCTGCCTGCCCTCTGTTGTTGGCCCTGCCTGCCCTCTGTTGTTGGCCCTGCCTGCCCTCTGTTGTTGGCCCTGCCTGCCCTCTGTTGTTGGCCCTGCCTGACCCTCTGTTGTTGGCCCTGCCTGCCCCCCTACGCTGCCCTTCACCCCCTGCCATGGTTCGCCCGCTTCCTCGCTCTCGCTGAGCCATGGTGGCTGAGGAGACGAAGCGGCCCTCTCCGCCACCATGCAGGATGCGAAGTGGCAATAAATGACCGCGTTTTGTAAGAAATGCGTGTCTGACGCCATGGGTTTGTTCCCTGAGAGTGATGACGATTCTGCTTTGGCGGTCGCTGCAATCGCGTTACGCAACGCGACGTTCCACGATTGAATGCCGCTTTGGTGTCAGTGCTTAGCCTCGGTACAATAATGCGAGTGGCATTGTCAGTGTGAAGGCAGGAGATGGTGATGATGATATTGGTATAAACACACGACACATGACAATATTGAGACGCGTAAAGTCCTGCGCACATCACGATCGAGCAAATAAAATGATTCCACTTTGGTATGTAACCAGGTGAGTCCAATTGAAATGTGGATAGCCCACTTCCGCATGAATACTTGCAAAGCAGTGTCATTGTTTTAAAATGTAGTGGTCAATAGTTTTAAACTCTGACCTCCACTTCCTATTTCACGTCCACTTCACACTTCACAACAGGCAGTGTCCTTTGGTTATTCCATTCATTCATTACTGTACTCTAATTAATTCCTGTCCGGTAATGAATGAGTGGATTTAATTTTCAGCCCTACGTAAATCCACTGCTGGATGAAAGCCTCCCCATCTCCTGTCTGTCATGGGGGTTGTTTCATCTTACCTCACGGTGGTCAGCGCAGATTTGTGAAGATGGGCAGGTTAAGGGCCCCTTTCAGATATCACCACTGATGTCAGTTTGTGACCCGAAATCCAACTTATGGTGTAGGTTTCTGAGCGCAGTGTGTGAACCGGTGCGCCACCACTCCCCGAGTGGAATTAGCTGTGATGGGATTTAAACTTTCAACTTACCGCACAGAGACCCAGTCGCGAGTGTGTTGGCCACTTTCCCACGCAACTGCCTGAAAATTACTGATTAGCGCCAATCTTTGTAACACACACACACGAGCAGTCTCACAGATTAGGAAACCCCACAATCGTAATTTCAAAATAATCCCAATAGTAAATATTGGGTGTTATTTTGAGGGTATAGCTTTTAGAAAATATAACTTATTTTTGCACTTATGCTTTAACACCTACGTGAAACTGAATGCACAATCACCATCCCAGTTTGAATGAAGATGTTTATCAGTATCAGACACCGCTGTATTTTATGAGAAGTTCCGCCTTATCACGAGAGGTTGACATATCTATCTGTGTCAAATGATGCCCGCGGTAAAACCCCAGTTCATGATGAAGCCAATGATTACCCACATTTGTTATGTACCAGACACATGCGTCTGAAATCATGGAATTGCCCTTAATGATTAATTGCATTGACAAAACATAATTTTCGGACAGTATCCACCATGTACAACAAATGTGTGTTCCAAAAAGACTGGCGTTAGACATACTCAGATGGTCTGACTTTTTCATACACAAAGGGGATTGGCGGTTGATGAAATCATTTCATGCACGCGATTCAGTGTCTCGATATGCACGCTGTGCTAACGGCAGGTGTTACGATTATGCGATGTGTCATGCAGGCGTCGTGAAGGTGTACCGCGCGCTCTACACATTTGAAACCCAGGACGGTAAAGGCCACAGCACAAGGCACACAGCGAATGGCACTGGATACACTGTGACTCTGCACACAGCCAGTGGCTCTAACTCAACACAAATCATAACACGCCTACCACAATACGGGTTCAAATCACCTGACGTCACCACCGTAGCTCAAGAAACAACATCGTGATGTGGCAAAGCTTGGCACAATGTGGCATGAATGGCATGGCATGATCCATTTTGGTAGAACACCGTGTACTGTTGGGCAGGGCATAGGTCCGGTCAGTGATGATCAAACCAGAGCTTGTAACTACCTAAAATATAATTATGGTCCACGTAAATTTCTCCAGCTTTGAATTCAACATATCTGTCCTGCAGAACTGATCAAGTAGTCTCACTTGACACTGTCATACGTTTTAATCAACTTAGCGACTGCCTGACTGTTTTTAGGAAAGTACGATGAGGCTTGCGACTTGCATTACACTGGAACGCCAATTGTGGAATTTTGGGCATTGTGTTTCTCGCTTATGACTGGTTGTCCCTGCCCACCGGGTACTCTGCTTCGGGCA